TCCCGTCTAGCTCTATTTCAATAGGCCACTGATGCAGTGACTGTATCTCCTGACCAAGATGGCCTTCATGTTCCCCTCGGCTTGACTAAACATCAGACAGGCTTCTTCCTGATCATTAGCCCCCGATACTCCCTTTTCTTACAGCATTTACTTTAGAAAACTTGCAACTGTAAATTCTTTCTCTGCCCCTTTGAAATGTAAGTCTTCTCCCAGCCTCTTGACAGTTTTACAACCCAGGACTGTCTTTCTCAAGGACCTGAGAGTCAATCCTTTGAAATGTAGTCACCAAAAAAACAGAGTCCCTGATGGATCTTTCCGTCTCTGTGGAGGACAGGAGCCTAACTTATACATTGCCAGTTAGCAAACACAGATGGCCTAATCACATTGACCAATCTCCCCTTGATGTCCAACAGAACTTTTCCACAAGCTCATCCTCTGCTTAAAACTCTCCTGCCTTTTGTTTCAGTGAAGTTGAGCTCAATCTCTCTCCCCCTACTGCCATAGTCTTGAATAAAGTCTTGCCTGTTCAACTTGTCCAGTGAAATATTTTATAAAACTATTATCTAGTTTACTTTTAGTTTAAGTTTCTCCACCTATACCCAAAAGGAAGGGGAGGAGAGCAACATGTTCCAAACTTGCACTTCTCACTCTTTAACTCTGTACCTCTGAGACCCCATGGCTTCAAGATATACTTGCGTATGGACGATTTCTAAACCTCCATCTTTTGTGCTTTCCACATTCTATCCATTTATTCCACAGTCATTACTGAACATCAAAAGACTCACTAAGATGAACCATGAGAGACGATGGACTCTGAAAAACAAACAGGGTTCTAGAGGGGAGGGGGGTGGGGGGATGGGTTAGCCTGGTGGTGGGTATTGAGGAGGGCACATTCTGCATGGAGCACTGGGTGTTATGCACAAACAATGAATCATGGAACACTTCATCTAAAACTAATGATGTAATGTATGGGGATTAACTTAAGAATAAAAAAATTTAAAAAAAAAGACTCACTAATTTTCTCTTGCTTAAATATAACCTCTTTTCAAATTTATAGTTTCTTTGTGAGTAATGTAATAAACATTATATAAAAAGTAAAGAAAGAGTGGTGCCTGGCTGGCTCAGTCAGTACAACATGTGACTCTTGATCTTGGGGTTATAAGTTCGAGCCCCACGTTGGGTGTAGAGATTACTTTAAAAGAAAAAAAAAGGCAAAGAAATATATTTTTGCAAATATAGCTGAAACTATATTTCTTATCTTTCATATCTAAGAAATTTCTTGGAATTATGCTATTTATACACTCCACTTCCTCAAAGCCAATAACCTCTTACACTAACTTTTTTAATACTTGGCCTCAATCTCAAAGATGTACACCTCCTTATCTAAGCCTGACTCCTACTTTAAAATTCATCTCTGTCAATCCGTGCTCTAAAAATAACAGAAGATAGCACTGTCTTTGAAAAAATTCTTTATAGGGCGCCTGGGTGGCTCAGTTGGTTAAGCGACTGCCTTCGGCTCAGGTCATGATCCTGGAGTCCCGCATCGGGCTCCCTGCTCAGCAGGGAGTCTGCTTCTCCCTCTGACCCTCCCCCTCTCATGTGCTCTCTCTCTCTCATTCTCTCTCTCAAATAAATAAAAAAAAAATCTTTAAAAAAAAAAAATTCTTTATAAAATGAAAAATAGAGGTTTGTATTTTATCTTGACAACCAGAGTTAGTTAACCATCATTGACAAAATGCGAAGATGACTACTGCAACCTCTCAGAATTTTAACAAATTAAGCAAACAGGAATGCTATCAAAGGAATTGTACCCCACAATCAATACTTTTAAACAATGATTATTTTGTTTAACATGAACTGAGAAGGCAGCAGCTTTCAGTGAGAACAATGGCTCATTTTATTATACGTGAGATGATTCAATTCCACCAGGCACTCTTGCAGCCAGCTTACTTTTCAAAGTTGGGGTTCAAGGGGGTTTCCTAAACAAGCTATATGCCCTAAGCTATACAAATCCCTGGTGCTTTTGGAGACCAAACTCCACACAGATCTCCACATGCCAGGTAGCCAAGCTTACTGTAAATCTGTCCGGGGTGAGTTTCCAGGCTGATAAAATGGATAAACCAAACCTGGGCTCTGCTTCCACATATCACTGCTGACGGCCTCCCTCCCTCCCACACCCTTCATTTCACTCTCACGCCAATATCAAAACCACACAAATTCTAGAATCGCCTCTGGAATTCCACGCTAGAGCAATATCGACTCCACCATTTGAGAAATCCTGAAATAGCCTCATGGAATTAAGTTAAAGTCTTAAAGCCAAGAATCATAACTTACAAATAAGACCCACACTGCCCGATAATTCCACATGTGAAAATACATATGTAGTAACAATATGAAGAGGTTTAACCATAGTTCTGGAAATGAACATAAATCTCTAACCAATTTTGTTTAGTGATACTTCTAAAGAAATACTAACATTTCTCAGACTTCACTAATGTGAAGTTTTCTTCTAACATCATTACCTTAAATCTTACCTTATTTTTAAAAACAAGCTGAACAGGAATTTTGAGAACATCATTTATTATTTCCCCATCATCTTCAATATAATACACAATAATACAGGCTTTTGGAGCCCAAGAATTTTCTGGTGTTAAAGAGAAGGTTGTTGAATTTTGCTTGCCTACAGCCACCAACTGTCCCCTGGATACTACCTGAAAAGAAGAGAAGAGTTCCATTTTATCCCAAAGCTAATAAGAATCTCAACTGCAGCTACAATCATAATAATTTCAACCATACACACAAATCGTTGACTTAAACCAACTTCAAGCCTTTCTGAATGCAAGGAAACTTCCCTGACCAACATGGAAAGGACAAGCTAGGAAACAGAAAAGGATAAGATAAAGAAATACTGATTGAGACAACAGTACCTTCACAGTCAAGAATCTATTTTTGAGCAGGAGAAATATAGAGCACCACTGGGGAGAGCCGGATGAGCAAAATTCAAGGCTATGGGTAGCAAGTTTGTTTTTTGTTTTGTTTTGTTTTGTTTTTCTCATACTTTGTAATTTTCTACAATAAATTTAGATGGATTATCTGATAGAAATTTAAATTTTAAACAGATTGCAAGATTTAATTATCCATCTTAAGTTGGAAATGCAAATACAGATGAAGGAAGAAAAAAGAAATTTTGATTGCAATATAAAAAGGGCAGGCTAAAGGATATAAGACTGAATTTTAAAAATTAGTGAGTACAGACATAAGGTAGATATCATTCTCGATGATCCTATAACAAATAATAAATTTAAATTCTATAAGAGATTACCATATAGCTTAACTCCTTCAATCGCTTGTTGCCACTAACCACCAACTCAAAAGGTGATCCCACCTAGGGGGGAAAAAAAAACTTATTTAATAAACACATATGAATGGCAAAAGAGTACAATTATACTGTAATTGTAAGTGATTGTAAGCATTACCTTTATATTTTCATCTCTTGTCTTTAGCTGGATGTATGTCTTACTGGGAGACTTAAACATACCATGAACTGCCATGCTACTCACACTATTAAGAAAAGAGGCCTATTAACAGAAGAAAAGGGAGCTATAAATTTTAATCTTCAGTAACACCCTGAGAAAGAATACTATATTTTGAACAATTCCTGAAAAGCAAATTCACTTCTACTTTTTTCTTGCAAAAAAAAAAAAAAATGTTCCCCAGACATTGGATCTTCACTTTATAGCTTATATTATAAAGAAAGTGACAGCTTTAAAACACAGAAGAGGGTCTTCATCACCATAATCTAAGAGGAAAAAGCATAGTCCTAACTTATTTCAGAAATAAAAGTACATTATCAAGAAACACTATGACAAGAGAGAACAAAATGAGAAAGAACTCCTTTCCCTCTCTCCACAACACAGAATTCATTTACAAGCAAGAAATCAGACCAACCCATGTATCTACCAGTAGTCAGAGTAACACTCAAAGGACCAAACCTGTGGCAATGAAAAGAAAGATAGCAGGAATGGTTGGGGTGTCTCAGATGAGCCACTCTGAGAAAGAGCTCAGCAAAGGAGTATAGGTTTAAAAAAATATTTTCCTCTTTCATTTCAGCTCCTGCCAAAATATACTTTCAAGTGATTGAAAACCAACCTAGGCTGGGAATCTGAGGAGCTTCTTCATCATATCTTCAGAGCGCTATATTTTACTGTGTTCTTCAAAATGAATCTACAAGGAAGCATTTGGTCCACCCCTCAGCCACTGTTACTAAACTGCTTGTAACGCTTTCCTCCATTTTTTTAAATAGAAACATGTGTTTACTTCCTACTTCCTGTGCACTTTGACCTCTAATGGTTTGAGTGCCTACCATGAGATTACAATTTCAATGATCTTGTTGTAGTAAGACAATGATGAGAAACAAATGGTACCTTCAACTGTAGCTCACTGGAATCATCCAGGATTGGGAATTCAATCTTAAAGATACCATTTTGGGGGAGGGTATAATTTATGATCTGGACAGCTTCTGTTTCCTGGTTTCTACTGTCCCATCTGCTCCAGTACTCAGAAGAATTTTTCTGTGTCACTGTTATAACTACATTATTTCTTCTTTCTTCAAAAGTCAGTCGATTGCCATCAGCACGGGTTACCTTTACCTAATTGTCAAAACACAACATTTTAAAAACAGGTAACAAGAAAAGCAAAGGTTTTAAGTTCAGTTGAATCCAGTCCCTATCTGTGCTATTCCAATGAAACTGAATTCTCAAAAACTGTTGGTAGCACCCTAACTTCCAGATGAAGTAGTCTCTCTCTAGAAGGCTTTCAACACCACTGACCATTCCCTTCTTGATAGTTTGGCTTCTCTTGCCTTCCATGGCTCCACAAGAACCTTCTTTATTTCAGAGCCCTCTTTCTGCATCCTCACAGTGTCTTTTTTGGGTTCCACCTTCCTCTCCCTAAACGTGGGAATTTGTCAAGGCTAAATTATCAGTTATCTGTGCTTCTCTTTTTCTCAAAGATCTCAGCACTCCTACTGCTTTCCTCACCTTGCTCTGGAGCTCATACTCAACACCTCCAATTTCCACTTGCAGGAAATTTCTACTTAAATATCCCTGTCAACTCAAATTCAGTGCATCTATAACTGAGCAACCATCTTGCCTCTCCTATTTTTGCTAACACCACAATTCTGCCAGACTTCACATTTCTCAGTTTCCCCTCCCTATACCCACCTCCCAAATCCAATATATACCAAGTCTTGTACTTCTCTCTTGTGTCCTCTCCACTTGCACATCCCCGCCCCCCCTGGAGCTTCCTCGCCACCTCACACCTGGGCTGCAGCCATCCTCCTACACACAGCCCCCATCCATCTCCCTGGAATACCACTTTTGCCATACCCCTCCCACATTCATAAGGCTCCCAGGCTCTTCACTGCCTAGAGCATAAAGTTCAAAAACATGCATGTGTCATTTAGGATCCTTGAAAACTCCCCACACGTTGCCTCCTCTTTTCTCTCTCACCACTCCCAGACACAAACTCCCTGCTACAATTGTACTGATCTAGGTGAATGCATCTGAACTTGCCAAGCAGGGCTCTTGCCTTGTCTCAGCTCATCTTGCTCCCCATCTCCCATCCCCACAACAAACATTTAAAATCCTACTGATTTTGGGCACCTGAGTGCCTCAGTTGGTTAAGCGTCCAACTCTTGGTTTCGGCTCAGGTCATGATTTCAGGGTCATGGGATCGAACCCCGAGTCACACTCACACTCAGCGTGGAGTCTGCTTGAGATTCTTTACCCTTCTTATTCCCTCCCCCTGTGCTCCTCCCCTGGCTCACACGCACATTCTCTCGCTCTCTCGCTCTCTCTCTAAAATAAATAAATGAATAAAATCTTTGAAAAAATAAAATAATATCCTACTGATCTTTTAACAAATAGCTTAAATTTGCCCTTCTGTAAAGCATCCTTTAATGACCCTCATCCCTATCCCAAAGCCAACTCTTCCTCCCAGACTCTCATTTCGAAGTTACCATTTGCAGCCTCAAGGGTCTTTTTCTTCCTTTTTCAAACTAAATTATATTTGAAATCAGAAACTATCTAAAATTTCTCTTGATCCATTCAATAAGAAGTCATACCCTCTTTCTTTAAACCAGAGGTCAGTGAACTAACTATGGCAGACAGGAAAGCCGAATCCAGTCTTTTTGTAAATAAAAGTTTTATTGGAACACAGCCACCCTGACCTGGCTACAAAGTAGTAAAGACTTCTTTCATGCTACAATGGCAGAGTTGGGTAGATGTCACGGAGACCATATATCCCACAAAGCTAAAAATATTTACTATCTAGTCCTTTGTAGAAAAAGTTTGCCAACCCCTGCTTTAAATCACTACAGAAATGTATGCATGACAGTGACCTTATCCTGCTTTAAGTCATACTTGTGTGTATGACTTGTCACCATCACAAAACTGTGAATCCAGGGTAGAGACTGGGTTCTTCTTAGCTCTGTAAGCCCCACCCAGCACCCTGCCTTGCACATTGTCAAAATTCACTCAGTAAGTGTTAACTCAAGGAAAAAAAAAAGAGAGAGAGAGAGATTTGTTGATAATTTTTAATGCAACATCTTTGCTAGAACTAAAATTAGTCATTATGAAAATCAAACTGAAATTGAAATTTTTTGACAACACCTAATTCTTTCAAGATATTTATAAAAGCTTCAATGTAGCAATCCAAATCTAACTTAAATTCCTTATTAAATAAATTTTGAGGAAAATAACTTTTGTTGGAGACCACCTTTTTAAGAAAACTTAGACAAAGGTCATTTGGGAACAATTCTACATACTTCATATAACTAAGGGGGAAAAGTAATCTATCTATTTTGGGCTTAATTTTTTTTTTTTTAAGATTTTATTTATTTGACAGAGAGAGAGAGACAGTGAGAGAGGGAACACCAGCAGGGGGAGTGGGAGAGGGAGAAGCAGGCTTCCCGAGGAGCAGGGAGCCCGACGAGGGACTCGATCCCAGGACCCTGAGGTCATGACCTGAACCGAAGGCAGCGGCTTAACCAACTGAGCCACCCAGGCGCCCCTTAATTTTTTTTTTTTTGAAAAGCGCTGAAAATATTATCTGCCATTCTGTTTCATTAAACTGAACTTGTTGCTTTAGATCATTAATAAACATGCCAACTTACAGTGGCTGTGAAGTTGAGAGATGGTTTCAAGACAGTAGCATAATCAAAAAATTCAATGATGTAATCATGTTGCTTGAAAAATACATTAGAGCTTGCATTTCTTGAGATACCTGTTTTGGAAATTGCACCATTTAGAAACCAAATGTTATACTTCACCAACAGCTTCTATCACCAAAGTTTTCTATCTATCTAAGCTACTTCCCCAAGGAGTTAATGGGGCACAGAAGCCTCATTCCCACAGTGGCTTGGTCATAAAGAGAACCATACAGTTCTCTTAGAGCCTCCATGAACCCCTCTAAGCACCACTACCGCTATGCCCATCCATAACATGGACACTGCAGATTAAGGCCACCGACTGAATCATTTTTTGCTCTTTCGAGGTTTGGTGAAAGCTGTGGATAACAACAGAAAGATCCAAGCAATTAACCTTTATTTTATTCTTGAAAAAGAAAACTGTCCATGAGCAGACAAGAGCTCAGAAGATGTTAAATGATTTATTTTTTTTTTTTAAAGATTTTATTTATTTATTTGAGAGAGAGAATGAGACAGAGAGAGAGAGCATGAGAGGGGGGGGAGGATCAGAGGGAGAAGCAGACTCCCTGCCGAGCAGGGAGTCTGATGCAGGACTCGATCCTGGGACTCCAGGATCACGACCTGAGCCGAAGGCAGTCGCTTAACCAACTGAGCCACCCAGGCACCCCGATGTTAAATGATTTAAAAAAAAAAAAAAAACAGAAGGTGGTTAGTTAGCTGAAAAGGTAGGACTTGCCATGTAGTTTCCAGGTTGAAAAGAAAGCAGAAATGGAGGAAATTACAAATACCTATTCCATGTGGTTGAAGCACAGACTGTGGTAGAAAAAGGTATTTCCCCCCAAAATTTAAAATTAAAATTAAAAGAAAGAAAGAAAAGAAATTTCCCCTTCATAATGAAAACACTCTGCAACTGACACTAATTAACAGTCATGACAATTTCAGAATTAAGTAGCATCTTTAGAAAGGCTCCCAAATGAATGTGCTAGTTATAATAAGAAAGGAGAGAGAGCAGCACCACATAAATAGCTTTACCTTCACTTCAAAGTCTACAAACCTGTAAGTGATTCTGTCACTGTGGCTAAAATTTCTACCGGCCCAGGGGAAGACAGATACATGTGTTCAGAAAGCCCTTCTGAAAAATCCATTACTTTTTTCATCTCTTCATCATTAAAAGAGAAGTTTGCAGATCCATTTATCTGTTTTGTTCAAAATAATTCAATTTTATTCTTCACTTTAGCAATTCAAATTTTAGAAATAAAATTCAAACTAAGTCACAAAAATATGATGGCTCTGGAGTATAAATGAGTAGATTCTCATTTGTCCAATTCTAGAAAACTCTTGATTTTTCTTACACTCAATTCTTTGTTAATTCAGTATGAAATCTTATTTCTAGTAAAAGTATACTTACAGTGTTTCCCCATTAGAAGTTATAAGATCTCTGTAAAAGTTACCTTAAAATTTTTTGTAATATTTTTCTTCATGCCCCAAAAGGATAAAGGTAAAAATGTAAGTGTTACATCTCCTTTCACTGGCTTCCCATATGTATACCTGAAAAATGATATATTTTTTTACATTTTCAACTTGATATTATCAAAATAGCACATGAAAATATTACTTTCAAAAAAAAAAGAAAATACTACTTTCAATAGCATATACTGGCAATCCAACTTAAAAGAATTATATTTTTAAAAATACTCTCACTGCAAATTTTTAAAACTAATCACAGCTAGGAATATCATTAATAAATGATGATCCTTGAAATTAAGTCTCCAAAATGAGAAGACTTTTAATTACAATACTTCAAAACAGTTCATAATACATATTTTACCTCTAACCATTTTAGACACTCCAGAGAAACTGCAAGTGCGGTTTCCTGTCCAAAGATTTTTTTTTTAAGTTACAAAAATGTTTTATTCCTAGAAATCTAGACTGGTCCTTTAACAGCATGCCCAGGACACTTCGCAGCTTTTGAACATTTTTAAATGGTAGTTGAAATTGCAATCACCAAGACCCACTGTTGCATGTTCCAATATTAACCAGAAGGGTTTATTAGACAATACACTGGGGCGCCAAGTGTGCTCATGGCTATCAAAACTTGGATTTGTGCAGAAAAATGTAAAAGAAGAGTAATTTTTTTATCCATAGTATCAAAATTATCTTCTTGAGTCAAATCTCCTCTCTGCTGCTTTACATTCTATGTATTAATTTTATCCTCTCTCCTGATGGGAAAATCTCTTCATGTGAAAAAGAGAGGCAATCTTTGGTAAACCATTTTACTGCCAAAAAGCCTTTTTTAAATGTGTTTCCTGGGTTCCTTCCATTTCTATTGTGTAATAAATGCTCAGCCAAATGTGGAAGTCAATTTTGCTCTGCACTCTATAAATCTAACAGTAAACTCCTGCTTCCTGAATCCATTAGTTGAACACAGAAACAGCCCCTCATCTGGATCAACTCAATTCAAAAGCCAATGATATAGTACATTCCAAATTAAGAAGAATAAAACAAATATATTTTCAAATGTATTGCCTTCCAAACGAAAATAGTAAAGTTAGTGGAAACCCTGGTCAGCAACTTCAGCACCAAATTCATTCATTCAAAAAAGAGTCCTCGAAACTTAACAGTTCTTGTATCTTGTTAAAGATTAAATAAATGCATAAGGATACCAGAACATTATATTTTAAGAGTTCTATCACATGATAGTACAGGGGGCTTGAAAATCCAGACATAATTTAATGTATTCTCAGACACAAATATTTTTTATTTTTGTTTAAATGTGAAGCAGATTTAGCTTTCTTTGCCTCAAGCTGATTATAATAATTATGAAACAAGGTTACTGACAATTATTGTCCTAAATAAATCTGGGAGCATGTGGAATAAACTAATGATTCAGAAAATAATAGTTTGACAAATTTTTTTTATTTTTCATTATGTTCAGTTAGCCAACATATAGTACATCAGAAGTTTCTGTTGTAGTGTTCAACGATTCATTAGTTATGAATAACATTTTAAAAAGCAAATCAAGTATATTCTAGGGTAGTACCATTAACAAAACAAGAATTTTTTTAAATAGTCATAGCACAAAAGGTTTACAAAATGACACCTAAAAAACTGAACCTGCCAGTATAATTCATGTTTCTCCCACCTTTTTTTCCATGTCATTTCCAAGATACAAATGTCTCATCAAATAATAAATATATTTAAATAAACCTTAGCCTAAAGAATATTTGTTTAGATTTTACTGTCTGCAGAATATATAGAAATAACTAGATGTGTGCTATGTTATTTTCTTTACAATCCTCTAGAACCCTCTGTGGTTAGTGGAAAAAGAGTCTATCATTTTAATGAGGTGGGAATAGTGAGCAGATGTTCACATCAAAGCCAATAAACAAATGCAGATTTTTATTCATCTCAGTTAAAGATTTCAAAACCAAAAAGAGACTGTTAACCTTCTTCTCTGGGAAATTTCCAGCAATGCTCTTCACCTTAACTATGCCTTGATGGGACAGATGGCTACTAGCAAAAGAAAAGCCCAAACCGTTTATTATCCACTCTTGGATCATCATCCTCATCAACATCTCCATCTTTTCTGGGACACAGTATTTATAGAATAGGTCTATGCCAATTTTTATAGACTGATAAAAGCCTCTGCTGGTCAAAAGATTTCCTTAATCTGTTACAAAGATGTAAAGTATATCCTCAATGTGAAGATAAGCCAGCCACCCACAATCATGTAAGCCAATTCCTTGCAACAACCTCTTAATATACATCTCCTACTGGCTTTACTTCTCCTATGGAACCTTGACCGGCACAGGTCCTAAGGAAAATGATGCAAGTACAATGTGGTGAATGCTAAAGAAATACCAGGGGTCATCACAATGGTCATGTTGTTCTCAGCCATTAGTATTTCGAAGAGGCTCAACAAATGAGAATCCAGATGAAACTATGAGGGTTCTTTTTTTTTTAAATCTAATTGAGTTTATTAAGCAATTCGTGAATGGGCAGCATCCCATCTAGCAAGTAAAGAGATGCTCCTATAAGAGTTCTTACAGGGCTAGCAGGGAGGAGGGTACCAGGGGATCCACAACCCCCCAAAGTTGTATATAAAACTTTCTGAAGAGTTACCAGAGTTTAAGAATCACTGTTTTAACTGATTGTAGTGAATCCCTGGGACAGCCCTGAAAACCAAAAACCAGAAGCAAAGAAGGTATCCATACTCAACCCAATCCATGAGGACACTGATGGTTTGTGTGGATTTGCACTCACTGTTTTATAAACTCTAGTCAAAGAACTCAAAATAAAACCCAGACAGAATCCTTAGCCTTCAGCTCAGATCAAGGGCAGGATAATAATTATGTAAAATGCAGGCATTTATGTATTTTCTAAACCATAAATCCATCCACAGTACCCAAATTCATATTGGAAGCCACCTCTTAGTTGAACACAGGCAGAAAACTAAGTTGGTATATAAACTGTAGACACATTTTTGCCTTTGTGTTGCAGGGGTTTTACATGTTTTTTGTTTGTTTGCTTGTTTGTTTGTGGGTTTTTTTGCCAAATAAAATCTGAAGCAGGAGTCTTCACAATGTTTTGTCTATGGGCTGCTCCCATCAGGAGACTCACTGCCCATCACTTGCCACTACCACAAACCCTCACCAAGAGAGGAATATGGCAATGAGAAAGCAGTGAGAGGGAGTCCAGTGTTTATCAACTATTATAAATGAATTCTGAAACTAAATAAATTTCAGGAACCAAAGCACAGCTATTCACACATCAAAAATGAAAGCTACATAAGATCAGGCCTGGAATAACTCCAGCCTACACTTTTGAGAACTGGTAGTCTGGGACTCTGAGGATGCTTTTTGCCTCCACAAAATGAAACGCTATGCTGGTCAAGCCAGTGGATCAAAATCATGAGAGCCATGATACATCTATCATACACGTGGGCTGGAATCTCTCCGTATACATCCACTGAAATGACAAGGAGGGTGAACTCCTTACTTGTTTGCTAACTGCAATAAGATAACCAAAATCCTCCCCCAAGATTCAACCTCCATTATGGACAGAAAAAAATTTAAGTTTGAAGAAGAGGTAAGTAGCCTCGATCCATGTCAGCTGAATGAGGGATAAAGATACAACTTTTTTTTTAAATCTGGAACAATCTATAATGTAAATCCCCTGACTAGTATCAGAAAGATACTCGTCTGTGGGAAATATTTCAGGATTGGATCAGTTTGGAAGCAGGCAGGTGGATACAAAGACCTGTACAGACATGTTCCGTGCTTAATTATTTATTACAGATATTTGTTTCCTGCGCATTGCGGTATTTTAATAAGCAGAACATGCTGCTAATATTCTGGAGTATATAATGAGCTCTTTGTCAGTTTTATAACAGTAGATAGCCATAAAAAAAAATGATACTCACTTTGCTATGACAGTACCATTTAAGCTCCTAGAATTCAAAGAACAATATAATGGTGTCTGCAAAGTAACTTCAAATTTGGGCAATACTGGAAAAGAGAAGCAAGGGTAAATATCTTAAAGAATCTATTTTCCTATCATTTTTAGCTTATCAAAATAAAGACTACATTGTTCTAAAGAAGTCGACAATTGGTACTATTTGAACTTAGATTCCTTAGAATCCAAAGACACATTAACACACAGATGAAAAGCACTTCATTTCACCCAAAATGAGAAACCCTTACGAGGCTGATGACTAGACAGTGACAGTGGGGACCAGTTACTATGGACATGTGTGTCGACGGAAGCTTCTCATCGGTCGAACCTGTATTGTATCCAGAACCCTGAGCCAAGGCATCTGAATGGTGGGAGACCAGGCATCACCCATTCATTAATGCTCCCTTACTGCTTGTTAAAAATACTTCCACATCACGTGGTAAACAGTTGCTTCTAGAGCAGCCCTTTTCCTAGGACTACTCTCCAGCATGGTTACTAAAAGCACACCCTAGGGCCCCAAGACTCTCCCTCTACATGGTACCATATATGTAGTCATACAGAATCCTTATTCTTCAAGACAATCAAAGGTGAATCTGGTGACAGTCAAATGGAATGGATTGCTATGAAGGGAAAGTTGTGTAGTAGGATTTCTGAGTTAATCACTAAGATACGGCTACAAAGTAATGATGCTTTTCTTGCGTGACAGTGATTCCCGAAGGCAATCCCAAAGTTAAAAACCCCTACTTTGGTCAGCTTTATATAATTAAGATGTGAAATACTTTATAAATATGAACACTATTTGATATAAAGCATACCACCAGAGTAAAAAAAAAGTGTATCCTTCCAGTCTATAGAGATTTTTTTCTCAAACTTCACTAGCTAAAGAAATAGATCAGTCTCATTACAAAGCATCTCACCATTCAAGTAACACAAGAGAAGTATCAAGAAGGCCAATGGGTCAACAATATAGATCAGACCTCCAGTTCCAAACCAGGCCAAAGGCCCTTTGTATGTCAAGATAGTCCTAGACAAATCTAGGACTGGAGGGCCAAAAAAGCCACATGATCCACTCAGAGGTGAAATTTCCTTAGAACAAAGAATTCAAATGTCCCCTCCTCAAACATCATAGGTTGGCAATCAATTCCCTACCTCCCCCATATCCAATTCAACAACATATAATCACCCAGCACCACCTCTATGTGAAATGAAAATAGCCTATAAAAACCTTGGCCACCTCTGATTTCTTCTTCTAGATCAGGGCTGTCCAAAAGCAATAAAATGTGAGCCACATGTGTAATTTTAAATTTCTAGTAGCCACATTTAAAAAGTAAAAAGAAGCATGTGAAATTAAATTTTGTAATATTTTATTTGATGCCATATACCTAAAATATTATCATTTCAACATGTACTCAATATAAAAAATTACTATTAATGAGCTATTTTTCTTTCTTTTTTTTATTTTTTTATTTTACTAAGTCTTCAAAATCTGATTGTTTACCCACTTAGAGCACATCTCCATTTGGATTAGCCACACTTCAAGCACTCAATAGCTACATGTGGTAAGTGACCCCCAATTTGAACAACACGGTTCCAGATCAGGGGTTAGTAAATGATAACCAGCATGAGCTAAGCATAGTTTTTACATTTTTAATTTGTTGGGGGAAAAAAAATCAAAAGAAGAATATTTTATGACATGTGAAAATTATAGGAAACTTTCATTTCTGTGTCTATAAATAAAATTTCACTGGATCACAGCCACATTCACTTACATATTGTCAATGGCTGCTTCCTACTACAGTAGCAAAGCTGAGTAGTTATGACAGAGACATATGGCCCACAGAGCCTAAAATATTACTATCTGACCCTCTCTAGGAAAAAAATTTTGCTGATCCCTGTTCTAGTGGATCATGAGACTTAGAAGTGATGGTGCTGTATGAGATATGTGGACCCTGAGCCACTAAGACGTAAACAAACTACCTTCCAGAATTTCTGTTGCCTGAATGAGACACAGTGTCAAAAAGTGACACAAATCAAATGAAAAAGCTCATGCGTAACCTCAAAACAGCCATCCAAATTAAAACTAATAGTCAGATCCTATACTAATAGATGAGATCCTATTCTTAGCTTTCCTTCCTCTCCATCCACCAACAAAATATCGGGCCATGATGTTTTTATCTATGTATGTCTAACTGTTATATAAATGTGACACCTGCAAGAAGAGGATTTGCCCTAGTCAAACAGACTGTCTTTACCAAAGCCAACCAAATGAAAAATATGGGAAATAACTGTTATGTTTAAAAAAATTACAAAAATTAGGGCGCCTGAGTGGCTCAGTTGGTTAAGCGACTGCCTTCGGCTCAGGTCATGATCCCGGACTCCCGGGATCGAGTCCCGCATCAGGCTCCCTGCTCAGCGGCGAGTCTGCTTCTCCCTCTGACCCTCCCCTCTCTCATGCTCTCTGTCTCATTCTCTCTCTCAAATAAATAAATAAAATCTTAAAAAAAAAAAATTACAAAAATTAAAATATGTTAAGATCACAACAAAGTAGAAAAACAAAAAAATTATGCATAAGAGAGTCCACATAATGGGACTCTAGGTGATCTGTTTCCTATATTTTTCTTTATAATGACCTTTATATCTTTTACAAAGGAAAAAATATATTTAGGTAGGCCTGTAAGAAACACCAGGAATGTACTTCACTAGCATTTTTACTTTAAATAACATATCTCTTCAAAATTTCTCTTATCTCTGTGGAAAGGAACAAATATTTTTTTCTTTCAAAATAAATTGAAGAACTCTTACCATATTCTGAAACCTGAAATGATTGATAATATGTCTGGTCCTATCAGGAGAAAGAAAAAAAAGACAAGAAAACATATGAGTTCTTATTTAACTATTTTTGCTTGCTTACTTACCTACATAAAAAGATTTAGGGAATTATTTTTAATTGCATTTATAATGATTTAATGAGCAAAACAGTTAGTTTTAACTTGTGGAAGTTTATTTTTAGTCATCTGTGACATGAAGCCTGTGAGATTTCATGAGTTTTTCTTGTCAATTCACTAACATAAAAAGGTGATCTGTCTCTATATTTCACCGCATATCATGTGAACAAACTCTTAATCTGACTTCATTATTTGTGAAATGAAAACTAGATTAAATTAGATAGTTCAGAAATTTATGAAGCAAGAATAAAACGTGTCAAACCATGACTTCAAATTTGTTTTGAATATCACTCTCAAAAAAACCAGTGGAGAAAATAAAGTTACACATAATTCAAGTATTTATACATAATCAAAAATACAAAATCATCTGGACCAACATCTTCTCCCTTCCATTTTCTTGTGCAAACCTTAAAACAATACAATACATTCTACCTTATTTTAACAAATATTGTTAATTATTTCTTTTCTAAGATCAATAAGAAAATATGTGGCCTATAATTATTTCATTTTTTCTAATTCCCCATATTTCTGTCCACCCTAAATCCATAAGTAACATATTAAATAGAACCTCTTTGAAATCACTAAGTAGTTCCACTAATAAAATTTGTATTCTAAATCTGATTCCCTATGTTTATCAAAGCAAATACACAGATGCAACTACAAAATATTAGTTTTTTTAAAATCATCCTTTGTTGGGTTGCCTGGGTGGCTCAGTCGTTAAGCATCTGCCTTCGGCTCAGGTCATGATCCCGGGGTCCTGGGATCGAGCCCCGCATCGGGCTCCCTGATCGGCAGGAAGCCTGCTTCTCCCTCTCC